AATTATTGGAAAAAAATAAAAATAAAATTTAATTTAATATTCTAAAATGAATCAAGGTAAGTCAAATGCACAAATACATTTGTGCATCTATTTAGTGTGAGCTCATTAATATGTCAATGGCCATTGGCATTCGAACAGTCTATAAAAGTAGAATCCATGTCCTGTTGAGTTTTACAGTCTAATTTGCAGATAAATTACCATAAGTTCTGAAAGACCAAAGGAATGGTTGTTTTAAAAGTGGACACTTTAAATGAATTGGAGGCCAGTTGTGTTTGGGCACATGGAAAAGGTGCGTAGGTCACAGCACGAGTTAATATGCATTCATTCCCTTACTTCAGTTGTCTGGAAGCAAATCCAAAGAACCACAAAACGGTGTCTTCTAGATTTCATGAAGTTTGAGGACAAAGTCAACTTTATTTCCTCCGTTGGAAAAATGAGGTGTGAGGTTGGCAAAAATGGTAAAGTATTCCCTTTATTAATTCAAAACTAACAGAAATGATATGCACACTTCACAACTAGAAATTTGGTTCCAAACAGACACAGGAGGGAAGGTCAAATACAAGTAAGAAGTCTCTTAAGCCTGACATTTTTCAAGCAAACAAAAAAAAGAGACAAAATTTAAAATCAATAAACATTGCCATGGTAGTTAGCAGAAGAGACTTCCTATATTGGAACACACATTTATCCATATGCATATTCATTTTTGTGTGTGTGTAAAATAAGTGCCTAATATCTCCCAATTAAGGAGAATAATTGGGGAACAAAAATGCCATTTTGAAATAGTCATATTTGATTTTCTGATACCCTTTAAAAATAATCTAGAACAATGAAATCCCAATTTAAGAGGCTAGTGGAGTGGTTCAAATGATACAGCACCTGCCTAGCAAGCACGAGGCTTTGAGTTCAAACCCCAGTACTACCAAATCTGAATTTCAGGTGAGTTGGAATTTTATGTACATAGAGGGAATAGGGGAAAAGTTTTAAAAGCTAGACCCACTTTCAGGTTTTCAAAGGAAGGATTACATAAGGCTAAGGTTATTATCTCAGTTGACTGAGAAACTGGACCCCATTGTCTCTAGAATTTGGGACAGAAGTTAAGGAAGGATTAGTTCATAATGAAGGAGCTTAGGCACAAAAATACTCCATGCACAAATATTTACTTGGTATATAGTGATATATGTCAGAAGTGAAATATGTACCTTTTTGGTCTTATTTCCTACTCAATACTACAATCCAAGAAACAAACTACTAAATAAACAAATAAAGCAATTAGGAAAATGATGGTTATTTATAATTGCTAATAGCCTTTGTAGCAATAAAATAATTTGCTACTGTAATCCAAGGATATTATCCAAATTTATTTTGTGAAATTTATACACTTATCTTTCCTATTAGCCATTGAAACGCAGATTTTACTGGCAGGAAATATTTAATACAGATAGGCTGAATGCATAATTCTAAAGAAAGTTATTATATTTTCTTCATTGTGAAATGCATGAATTAAGGGATTTACAAAAGCCTTGTAATAAATGAGAGCAAAAAAAAGCTGAGATTAAAACTTTAATTTGCTTTAAATTTCTCAATTTAAGTTCTCTTTTAAATATGTATTATTGGAATAAATTGATATCCTAGAAGCATTTTCATTGAATATTATTGTAGGCAGAGATTTCTAAGAGTAAAAATTGTCACTGTACTTTATCTGTACTCTGTCAAGTTTATTTCCTTTCTTGAGTTCTTCAATATATACTTATGTAATACACTCAGTAAAATTTCTGTGAGTTGTCACTATGGCCTATCATTTGTGACATCTTCCGAGGAGTAATGAGAGAGGGAATAGTGTAAAATAAAGCTGGATACTTAGTCTAAAAGGCCAGTCAAGGAGCCCCTTAGTGTTAAGGAAGTTTTTCTTATAGTATGAGGCAACTGGTAAGTTTTATGAAAATAAAAATTGTAATTAGAGCCTGGAGTCAGGGTAACATTTGAATCACAGGAACATAGAGACGATGGCTCTAAGTATAGTAATGGCAAAGATGAAAAATCTGCTCTTGGGCAATCTCAGGAGAGAAGTTTCCTTGCTCTCATGCATCTTTCTCAATGTGTCCTTCACTTTGTGACATGACTGGGAGTCTTGACATCAGCCTCCAAACCCTTCTGTGAAGTTTGGCAGTAGAGGGAATTGATTCATTCATCTTTTTTCTTCTCTCCAGAATAAAAGTTGACTTCTGTGTTCATCATATACTCAGTAAATATTTGTCATATGCACTGATATAAATATGAGATCTTTAGAGACATGGAGAACAGAAAACTAGACTTCAGAATTGTACATAGAAGTGAAATTGTGCCTACTCTAAGTCTAGCCACTCCTTGGTACCCAAAAGAAGGTCATCAATGTGTTTTCAGCAATGAAAGCACTCATGAGTGACTGACATAATTCGCAATGTCTACACTTTGCAAAGTGCCAAGAAGTAATAGCTAGAGGAAGAAAGGAAGCCTGTGGTAAGGCTTAGGAAAGAATATAGCTAAAAGACAAAGCTAGCAAACAGAGCATCATAAACAATAACTTGTTATAGTCTCATTTCTCAAATGCCTTCACGTGATTTCATTTTAATTCTGACGATAGTCCTGAGAGGTGGAGAGGAGGCTTATTAGCCTTATTTTTGTTTTTGTTCTTGTTCTTAGTAGATGAAGAAGCTGAACCTTAGAAAGTCAAATGCCTTGGAGAAGAGCATTTCAAACAGAAAGAAATATATAACATTGCTAAACGCAGAAAGTTGATTAAGTGGTAAAAAGATAGCAGTGGGTTTGACCTGCAATTCATTGAAGCTTCTGCAAAATGAGGTCAGAAAGAAGGGAACAGGAGGAATGGAAAGAAAGGCTAAGATATGAAGAGAAAGTTACTGATAAACATGAAAATAGGTATCTCATGTGATAACCATGTAGCTATGACACAGGAATCACCACATACAGGCACAAGGGTGGGACAAGACTTGAAGTAGAAGATGGACAATAAAAATATTTTCTCTTCCTACCCAAATAGACAGCTTACTTCTACCATACCTTAAAGATGTGGGTGCATGTGAAAGTCTTCTGACTTTGAAATTATTATTTTATGATTTTAAATGCCATTTGGGTAAGATCTTCCTCATTAGCTTCTCACAAAAACTCATCTCCCTGCGTTTTGCTGTATTGTTCTATACCCTGAAGAAAATGATACTGGAACAGGATGATGCCAGTAGAGTCACAAGTGCTATTTAACATTCCAGCTCTTCCAGCTCCGCCCTCATTGGAAAGTAGCCCCTGGTTCTGCAGACATGGAGGGCTCAGGATAAACAGGCAATTGTACTTAAGAATAATTTCTCCTGGTGGTTGTCTTTTTCATTTCAAATCAGGAAGGGGGAATTATTATAATGAATCGTCGTTTTTTCCTTAACTTTTTTAAACATAAGCATAATAGCACAGATGAGGTACTGGAAGAAGCTGACACAAGGGAACAAAATACACAAACAAATTCTGAAGACTTTGTCAAAAAATACTTATACAAATCAGAATTTTCTCTCACTTCACATTTTAAATTCTAAGTTACAATTCTTAACTCTTCAAATACATATATATGAGTGAAGACACATACACACACACAGCATAAGTTTACAAAAATCTGAGATGGCAGAAAGCTATTTTTTGAGCTAAGTCATCGATAGTGAGGCTTGTTTAAGAAAGATACACTTTTTTTTATATCAGGACTGCTAGTTGTGGAATATAAACTTAGGTGAGCTAAGTTATTTTCTGATAAGTCAATCATCAACAGAATTGCTAGTTATTCAATATTTTACCTAATTTTTGGTGGTGTGGGTAGCAAAAACAGTTCATTTTTAGATGATCAAATGCAATTTATACATTGTTCTGTTTCCTGTCTAAATCCAGTTAATGAATATACAAACCAAACTCAAATCTGTACACATATCATACAAACATCTAGATGAAAAGTGACAAACTCAGGCCACCATCCCACTATATGAAAACATTTATCTCAATGACATTAAACATTTGCATGTTTCCAAACACCGAGATGCTGGATGTCCTGCACATTAATGGTTGCATTTTTATTTCTCTGATGCATAAAAAGATGCATGTGTGTGTCTCTTCCGATATCAAGGCACAAATTGTCATTTTAGCGTGGATACAGTAAGAAGTCATAGGTAGGAACTGTCAGGTTTAGATTTTTTTTTTTGTTATTATTCTTAATGAATCTGTGAGCTACAGAAGTAGCTTTTATTCCCCTTTTAGAAAATAAGAGAATTAACTGTCATTTAAACTGTGTGAATTGTCAGGTAAAGGGCTTGCAAAATGGGAGCATTGGTTTTCATTTATCTACTATGGCCCACAGAGATACTGTGTGTGGGAAAAGCATGATGCAAAGTAGTCTTAACTGACTGAAATTCAGCTCAAATACTATATAAAATATCTCCTTTTCCATTATATTTTAAGCACTTTTTTCATCACATCCAGCTATGTCATCCAGATGAAATGACAGAACTTTAAGCTTTCTAGTTTGCTAATGCTGATATTCACAATAACGGCTTACCCTGAGGACCACAGTCAACAAGAATTCTTCTTTTTGGCTATTCATTACATCCTAATTTATCTGCATCATTAAAAATAGGCTGCTCCAGCTTCTCAAGCTACATTTTTTTCCACTCTACTTTAATTGAAGAAAAAGCTATTCTTACAAGGAAATAAGGCAAACATTCTTATAAAGTATGTATTCTGGATATCATCATAAAGAAAGATTAATGTTCTTTACAATTTCACAACTTTAAGAACCATCCTGTATATATGTTGAATCTTAATTCTGAGCCTCTGACATCAACATTGCTTGCACTCGGTACTAGGAGAGAGAAATGGAAGCTAAAGTGAAAACAATTCCCTAAAATCTGAGAATGACTAGGGCACCGGAATGAGACACTTGCATCACACATTTCACTCCCAGGTGAGCACCGTACCTTTTGGGTCACTCAGAACTGAACCAAAGGCACTGATGACCACATCAGCCTTCAGGCGGACTATCTGATCCTCATCTTCACTCCAGTTTCCTGCCTCGTCCTGCTCTGTCCGCACGAATTGCATTGCGACAATTCTCCCATCTTTCACTATGACCTTCCGTGGGGACAGGAAAGGCAGAAATTCACACTTTTCTTCCTTTGCAAGCTCCATCTACCACAAAATAAAACAGAGAAAAACTTGAGAATGCTTCTCATCTTATAGAAAAATTCAATTATACATGCTCACAGTTACAATGTTTAATTTGCATGGAACTTTTCCAGTCACCAAGCTAGTTTCAGTTATCAGCTATTCATGTTTTGTAAATTCCTGACACAGGGGGTCTTGAGTTAGAACTGTGTTGAAGTCTATAGATCATAGCATTGTAAGATACATCCCAAGTTTTATTTTTTGTATGCCCCACAGTTAGGGATGTGCAAGGTGTTTGACTCTAATAGCTTGGTTCCCTTATGCTTTCATTTTTGCAGAATAAGTTCTCTTTTTAATCATGCTGCATATGAAAATAAATATTTCTGCTTATTAACATTTTGTGTATATCTAAGCTGGAAATAAGTCAATAAAGTGGATGAGCCAATCTATGTGAAGTACATGACCAGTAACGTAGGTAAGAAAAAAGACGACTAGGGAAACTTTGTGGGACTAAGAAATTTAACTTAAAACTTCTTCATTTCATAAAAGCACAAACTCAGAAAGATAAATGGGCATGTTCCTGACAAGTTCCTACTTCTTCCCCATCTCTTCTATAATTCATTCTGCCATAAAATTGGGATACCCTAGTTTTTGTTTTCATACGTATAAAAGGATGTGCATTTACACAGACTGTCAAAATTTACCTATTAAATTATTTTCCGCTCATTGTTTTTGGGAAAATCCAAGTTTTTGCCAATAAAAGCTGAACTAGTATGTTAAGTATTCTTTTAAAAAAATATATAAAAATTGCCATACTGAAGAGTCCCTCCCCACCTCTGTGGATGCCAGGTGGATTCTCAGAAGGCCCTTTGAGGAGTGAAGCTGAGAAGGTTGAATGTGTGAGGTTTCAAATGAGGAGTTATCTGAACTAAATAAAGATGGAAAACTTGGACATATAGTAGCTTGGTCTATATTGGACTTGTCTCCCATCAATCTGTCAATAACCAGTGGTTCCTAGTTTGGGACTCATCAGAATCACTTGGAGAGCTTTTTAAAACAGACTGTATTACTAAAACTTTGAGCTTCTAATTCTACAGGTTTGGGTGAGGCCTGAGGGTTTGCATGTCTAATAAATTCCTAGCTGATGCTGTGCCACTGTCCAAGGATGATACTTTGCAAATCACCATTTAACTAAACTGCAGCTGAGTGACTCAAATCATCGGTGATCTATGCCTTGCATGCTTAAGGGCATTAACACTACCTCCAAACTTTCTACAGTATATAAACAGATACACAGTGTATGTACAGTATTAAAATTAGGAAGGGGTAGAACACTCCCAAGGGGGACTGTATAAGTTGAACAGTTTAGAAACCCTGGTTTATTATGTACACAGGCATGAAGTTATTTGTTCTATGTCTTCTTTAGGTTGTTTTGAATATTTCCCCTAAAGGTATAAGTTGGAGTACATACACAATTCTTACATGTTATTTTCCTTTTTTGCTATTAAGAAATTACTAACAGCAAGGACAATGATAGACATATCAGGTATTGTGGTAGTAAGCATTTTAAGAAGTGGATTTAACACTCTTACTTTTTAGATAAGAGATAAGAATTGATTGGAATTGAGCCAGGTATGAAACCTGTTTTATGGGATCTTTCTTGAATGCCAAGTGACACCTAGCTAATTAGTATGGATCCTATTTAAAGCAATTCAGAATGTAAAAGGCTTGAAACAGAATGAAGCTTAAAGAAGTTACAAATAATAGCTATTTATTCATTGTTGTTATTCTCTGAATTTATAATTCACCAATCATTCTTCAAATATTTAACAGCACTTAGCAACGGAATTGTTATTTCAAGAGAAAGGTGACCCAATAACAAATACTAAGTAAATAAATAAATAAGACAAAGTTAAACTTTAGCCCCTCTTTAATTTTATATAAAACCACCAAACATAATCTTTCTGGGAAGCAAACCATTCCTTGACTGAGTCAAATTACAAAATAAATATGGTACCAGTATGTAAGATATGTCTTCTGACTTATTTTTGTCACATTTTGTCACCTTATAACTCAATGTAAACAAGTTTATTGTGTTTCAAAAATGTCACATGATGCTAAATTTTAATGGTAATACCATGGTTGATTGAGTAACAATGGCAAACGTTTATGGTTTAAGTAAATCAATACACATGTATATTTATAATAGTATTATTTTCTGTGGAAAGCATCAATAAAATACAGAACTATGGTGAAAGAGTTTGTCTCACAGATTGATTTAGGATTCGTTTCATGTTAGTCTACCTTTTTTTTGGTCTATTAATACTTAAAACTGGAAAGAAAAATTAGAAACTGCTAACAATATTGAATTAAATAAGTATGCTAAAAAGTCAAATAACATGTTATCATTTTATGTGCAGAATCTGGATTGAAAATGATTAAAAAAAAAAAAAACCGGATAATAGTGAGAGTTGAGTACAAAAGGGACCTGGGGGGCAGGGCGTCAACTGGAGGGATGGGGAAATAGGAGACCAGGAGGGGGGTGAAGAGAATCAACATTGGTTACATTATATGTATGGAGATAGCATAATGAAAACCACCAAACACTAGTTTTTAAAGGGAGAGAAGTTACAGGGACATGATATAAACCGTGATCTTGCTCAAATTACACTGGATGTAGATATGGAATTTTCACATGAAACCCTTTGTACTATTAATAAATCCTAAAAAATGGAAAGAAAACTTTTCTGATTTTAAAATAAAAATTAACACTGCCTTAACGCCTGAACATCTTCGTATCATGCATTTTGACTTTTGAGAACCTAAAATCTGAGTGTAGTTATGAACATAAAGAAACTGGGTTTTGATATTCGCTCAGCTCATATCACAATTTCCTGCTGCATTGAGGTTGATAACTTATGTTCAAATATTGACCTTTTCTGCCAACTATCTGACGGTGCACAGAAGCCCAGCCGTGTGAACACTGGTCCACAGAGATTACTATGAATTTCTGCCATTGAAACTTTAGAGATGTTCTTTACTCTTTGAAACATATAGGGTTACACTACTTATTAGTCCATGAATCACCTGACTTGCACCAATTATTTTGCTACTAAATAACTACATTTTACATAAAAATGAGGAAATATTTAAAGGGAAGGTAGGAAGATATCATTTGAACATTCATATTTAGGAAGTATATGATATTACTAAAAATGATACTGAAGATTGAACTTGGGAAATAAGAAAATATTAAGGACAATGAGAATAAAGGAGAGATAAAATCATATGTCAGGAAAAATATCAATTGACTTATTTCTGGACAACATAGGAATTTACTTCTAATAAGATTAAAATGCTAACACTAAGTATGATTATAGGTACTCTAAGTGCTTTATGTGTAACTTTTCATCTTTATACAGAAGATACACTATCATATGACACTTACATATTAGCTATTACAAAAAAAGACACTTAGCCTCAAACTAACTTTGTCTCCCTGTTGTGGCACAAACGTCCACACAATGGGAGGGGATGTCACTGCGATTTGACTGATTTAATATCCAGCCTCATTCACCCTGTTGCTTGCTGACTTCACTCAAATCCCAGGATATGAGGAAGCATTGAAGGTTTAGGGTCCCTAACCTGAAAATGTGAAACCCAAATGATACAAAATTTATCACTTTTTGAGCACTGACATGAGACTGAAAGTGGAAAATTCCATACAAAATTCCATACCTGGCCTCATGTAACGAACAGGTCATAATCAAAGCATAGGTACCCTAAAAAATACCATTTAAAATTGCCTTCACGTTATTAGGTATGTATAAAATATAGATGGATTTCATGTTCAGACATGGGTCCCATCCCTGGATATGTAATAATAAATATGCAAATATTCTAAAATTTTTTAAAAATTCAAAATCTGAAACACTCTGGTTCTAAGCATTTCATATAAGGGATACCCAACCTGTAATTCCTTTTCACATTAAGAAACAAAGGCTCAGAGAAAATAAGGATATATTAAAGGATGAAAAAGCTTTGTTAAAGATGTAATTTGGTCAAAACCAAATTGCCTTTGGTTGTCCAAGGGCAACAACTGCAGAATGCGGGTTATGGCAGAATGAGACTATGAGTCTAGTTGCTAAACTTCAAATAAGGCAGCCTCAAAGGTCAAGAGATTGGTTGGACAAAGACTGTCCTCAATGGGAAGAGGAGATTCAAGCTTCCAATCTAAGTAAGGCAGTAGTACTCTAAAATCATGAACTGTAGGAACCAAAGGATGATCCACTTATTCACTCAATGGTGCTAATGAGTGGGTCTTGTACACAATGGAATTTTATTTAGCCATGAAGAAGAATGAAATCTTATCATTTGCAGGTAAATGGATGGAACTGGAGAACATCATTCTGAGCAA